TTTAGGAAGCATTTACTCTTGCACGCATCCGCAATCTTTCTGCCACCTCGTATGCAGTGATCAGGTCTTCTCGCCTGGACGTCATGCTAGCCAAAACTGCTTCTGCGGTCTCACGAAGTCGGTCGGCAAGCCCTGCCTCTTCTACAGAATGCGAAATCGCCAATACAGTAGATGCGGCTGAGGAGCCAGGTGAAGTAAGTCGACAAGCTGTCACCTTCTCGCTTTTATCCATCCCTAGTGTTGTAGTCGACTCAGTTATCTCCAAATCTGATTTCATCAAAGTCTGAATGGCTGTGGCTGAGCTGGTAGAGACTTGCGACCATGCCCCAGAATCCATTCTATCACCGATAGGGTCTGGAAGAGTGCTTGCGCCTAGATTATTTATTTCACAGATGCCAGCAAACTTATGCTTGATGGCTGTATTAAGCATGCATCCAAGCTCTGAGTCTTCAGTCTTTGTGCAAAGTTCATTATTAGCCTGTACTGCCCTAGAGTTACTATCTCGAATAGGTGATGAAGTATTGGTCTGGCCAAAAGGTGGCATTTCTAGGGCATTTTTTGAAGACACATCCGATTCCAATTCACTTGCTTCAAACAAGAGGTTTGGATTAGGCAGATCAGCCACTTCTACCAGACGCTCAGCCTCCTTCTCCAATCGCTAATAAAATTGCCATAAAGCAAAACACAAGATTTTGTGGAATCAGAATCAACAAAATTAATGAAGTTATGAACACGAGGCAAAGATAAAGGCTATATTAACGAAGTTAACATACAATAAAATTTTAGATAGGTAAAAATCTAAGGAAAGTTAAAAATGATAAATGAAAAGTATGCAAAGTTAACGGAAGAATAAATACGGAATAGAATTTACAGTAAGCTTCGAGAAGGCAGTTTTGCAGCACTTCGCCAGGTCAGCACAGATAGGCTCTCCTTTATCTAGTCCAATTTGAATTAAACCATCTGCGGAAAATTGTCGCTTTAATGCAGCATTCTCCAGGTCACAATTAAGCCGAATAAATTCCAA